GAGAAGTTAGGGGAGCTCTGGCGGCCTGTTGGCAAAGAGTTGAAATACCACTCCAAAGGCTGGTGGTTTGAATCCACCATTTCCTCCTATGCAATTTACTGCCTCTGTTGGAGGTTTAGTCAGTTCTGATTTGGTGATACTTAACAGCAGCATAAATGGAGAAATTGGATGATTTTATTCTTAAAAGAGGAATTACATTTTCAGATACAGAAAAGAAATTCTATTCATGTATACATGTGGGATTTCAAAATAGAAGATGAAATATGCTGTATATTTCCCAATGTTGAAACTGTTTTATGCATTTATCTAGCTTTAATAATCACAAACTATACAATAGAATGTTAGGAGAATGCTGCATGTAAAGAGATGGAAAAATCTTCAGGAAACAATATGAAAGACTTGATTAATTATATTTATTTGGAAATAAATATTGTTTAGAAGCTTGTGATGATGAAGGGTAGAAATAATTTTTAAAATTGTAACATGTTAAAGATAAAAGATCTATTAATACATAGTACTTTGTAATATTTGAATGAAATTTTCTTTTATAACATCTTTCAATTTAACCATTTGTAATCATGCTTTTTTATGAAACAAGTATCAAAACGGAAATGTTTGGTGGTGGTGGTGTTATGTGCCATCGAGTCACTTGTGACTCATAGCGACCCTATGTACAACAGCCCTAAACTCTGCTCTCTCCTGTGCCAGTCGCACTGTCTCTGACACTCCCATCCCGATTATCCCAGTCACTGAATCAATCCATCTCATAGAAGGCCTTCCCCTCCTGTGCTGTCCCTCCCCCTCCTGAAATATGAGCTGTTAAAGCAAATTGATGAAATTCAACTTTTCATTTTGGGAGATCAGCAGAATGAACATAGATTGTTGGAAAGACATAAGCTTATGAACTCATTTTCTTCTTTTTTAAAATTTTTTTATTATTAATTTCAATGAAAATTTACAGAGACTTTACATTTCCATTCATTCATTTTTGCACTTTTCTCCCTGCCCGCCCCTCCCCACCCTAGTACACTCTTCTCTTTGAAAAAGAAAAGAAAAATTCTTTCATTGTTTTACAGTCTCTCCCCTCAGGTCCACTCCACTATGCAGCCTACCTTCTGGACTTCTGTTATGACAAAAATACCTATTCACATATCCCTTTTAAACAGTTTTCTCATTCATGTGTTTCAATGCAGTATACATTATTTATCTCATCTTTCTGAGTCTCCCCCCCAACCCCGATGTCAGTCCTGTGTAGTCCTGTGGCACCACGCAGTATTTGTCCTTTTGTGACTGAGATATTTCACTCAGCATAATGTCCTCCAGGGTCACTTATTTTGAATAATATTGCGTGAACTCCTTGTTTTTTAATGCAGCATAGTATTCCATTGTGTGAATATACCATAGCTTCTCTATCCATTTGTTTGCTGATGGGCACTTAGGTTGTTTCTAACTCCTTGCTATTGCAAACGAAGTCGCGGTAAACATGGGTGTACATATATCTGCTTGGATGTCAGTTATGGTCTCTTTGGGGTATATTCCCAGTAGTGGAATTGCTGAGTCAAATGGTATCTCTATTTGCAGCTTTTTGAGAAAGTGCCACACTGCCTTCCACAGGGGTTGCACCATTTTACACTTCCACCAATAGTGAATGAGGGTTCCAGTTTCTCCATAACTTTGCCAGCGTTGGTTACTTGCTGTTCTGTTAAATTTTGCTGTTCTTACTGGGGTGAGATGATATCTCATAGTTGTTTTGTGAAATAATTTTAGTAGCCCACATTCACTGAAAATATTGTAATCCAGTTTATCTCATTCTGGTAAAATGGTATGCTCTACTTTTGCATTGCAAATAATTGCATTTTAAAAGAAGTTGCAACATAGAATATATATGTGTATGTGGAGTGGGGGTGTGGCTATACTCAGAACTTATCCGTCCTGTTTTAGGTAAGCAGAGGAGGGAGCACCACTGATTATCAGTGTTTCTGACCCTCACATACCTTAATATGACACTGACTAAAATTGTACTTTAAGTCATACATGATTGTGAGAGACTTATTTATTCTTAAAAATGCATAACTTTTTTATACTAACTGGTGACTTTCTTGAAATAAAAACATTATTGACTCTTCTGAGTATTTAAAATATATTAGGAGTAAGTTTGAGAGTGATGTATTGAATTTTATGTTTTTCCTATCTGATTAAACATTAGAGGAATATATACTTAAGAATAAATGTACACTTTCCACAAGGAAAAAGAAAAGCTTTTTCCCCTGATGAGGGTTTCTTTTTGCTTATTATACAGGCAAGTGTGCTCTCCTCATCATGGCTCTTTAGCATTGTCTGCTAAATTGTATCAAGGTGGGTTTTTTTTATCAGTGAGTTAAGTAGCTCTTTATTTTAGAATCAGGTGGTCTTGTCTCTAGGCCTCTCAGTACCACCAGGATGTTTCCAAATGGTTAATTTAGCTGACTCTTCTAAGGTAAGAGAACTCTGATGTGTAGTTGATAAGAGAGTTGATCTACTAGCACAAAGGCAGTTCGAATCCACTGGTTACTCAGAGGGAGAAAGATGGGTAATTTCTTCCTGTGTGATACACAGCCCTCCAAAAACTTGCTGGAGTTGCTTGCTTTGGCAGCACATATACTAAGATTGGGACGATACAGAGATTAGCATGGCCCCTGCGCTAGGATGACAGACAAACATTTGCTAGAGGCCCAGGTGAGTCAGTTCTGACTTAACAGCATGAATTGAATTTAGTATTTGGTTTGCTATTTCTGTATGTATCACTGAGCTTCATTGGAGATGGTTGAAAGTGTACTTGATAAAATTTGATGACTGTGGATCTAGGCTGTGACATTGAGGTTGCATCCAATACTTTGACTTCAGCAACAGTGTGTTCAGATTATTTATAAATATGTTAACCTGATACAGTTGGCATTTTGTAAGTAGAAAGGGAATTGAACATTTAATTTGTGCCTTATTTTGGATTTGTTTTGAGTCTTTGGAATTTTTTTTTTAAGTCTTTGAAATTCTTAACAAAACCCCTCAGATTCACTGCTCTTGAAGGCTGTAAATTGTACAGGTAGAGATTGCTTGTCTTTTTCTCTCCAAAGAGATGTGACCTCTGAGTTAATAGCACAGATCTGTATGAATGGGGCCACCAGAGCTCCCTGTAACATGTAATTTTATTTTTTTATTGAGAGAGGTGGAAACCCCAAACCAACCTTAGATTGGGCTAAGTCATTGAGAGCAAAAGCTTTGTTGTAGCAGCCAGTGTTACTTAACGAATTTCCAATTACAGTAAAAGTTAAAAGTATTCTTCTTCTTAGGCCTGAACAAATAAAATTGTATTACTTTAAAAGTTAAAATGAATACACATTGAGTTCTCAAAATATGTACTTAAGTAGTTACTCTACCAAAATATATTCTTAATATAATAGCTTACACTACTAAAACAGCTAATTAAAAAATTCAGTTTATTGTTGTTTTCATGCCTAATAAGTGATTTGTGATTAAATTACTATCTAAGCTGAAAAGACTTTTAAAGCCTGAGTTAGGCCCAGGAAAACATGACTCTTCGCTTATAGCAAATAAAAATGAGTAATTTTTTAAAAAATTTCACCTTATCTGAAAAGAAAGCACGTTTGAATTGTCAACTTAAAGTAACGGAATGTGTTTTAAAAAAATGCATAATTTACATAAAGTGCACCCTTTGAAACTGTGCAATTAAATGGTATTTAGTCTTTTACAAAATTTTGCTGCCCTCACTACAGTGTAATTTCAGAACATCACCCCACAGTGAGACCTTATGTGCATTAGCAGTGTTGCACTATTCCCTTCTCTGCTTATATAGTTTGTGGCCTATTGTCCCTGACTTCTTTCTCTTTTACTTAGCATAATATTATCAAGAATCATCAATACATCACTATTTCATTCTTTTTTAGGGATGAACAATATTCCACTGATTGCAGTGGATATACATACCACATGTATTGTTTACACACACACACACGCACACGCACGCACACACACACACACCCCTTGAGCAACACAGTTTTGAACTGCACAAATGAGAAGTACGTGAGTAGCTGTTTAAAATGACATCCAGCATGGTTATACCCACGTCAGTAGCAACAGGGAAAACAAATCCACCCACATAGACATACTGAAGAAAAAGAGATGACAGCTGAGTCTCCATGCTGATTTTTCTTTAGTCTTGAATCTTTTTGAACTTTCTTTAGTCACATTCTTAGATGACAACTGAATTTCCCTCCATGTTGGTTTCTTAGTCATACAATTTTGAGAAATATACCAAAGGTATTTTTGAGTGCAATAGGAATTCTGAATAACAGAATAATTTTTTTTAAATGACTTCTTTTTTTTTTTAAATTTTATTATTTTTGTGTGTGTGTACCGTCAAATCAGATCTGACTGGTACAGGAGGAGATTGTCCCTCCTTCCCCGGCAGAGCATCTGGTGGATTCGAACCGTGCACCTCTGGGATTGTAGTTGCAGCTTCTTGCCACTAGGCCACCAGAGCTCCCCCAGAATAATTATTTAACTAAGTAAGATGTTTCATGAATGAGACACAATAAGTTGTTCCATTGATGTTAGTAAAGAATCTTCTCTGTACCTTTTAGATGAAAAATATAAAAATAACTGGTGACTTAATTAAAAAACCACATTCTTGAAGATTTTTAATTGTAGTAATACATGTTTTGCATTATGATGGAAAAGGCATATTTCCCATGTATTTTTCCAAGTATTTTTTAAAATTTGATAATTATCTATAGTTTATTATATCTTGTAGTAGGTATTTCTACTTACTGATCTCTTAACTGTGTTAAGTAAGAGTTAGAAAGAGAATAATTTTTAAATTATATACTGGTTTTCTGCTTTTTTCTAAAGGGAGTTTTATTGTACTCACACTTAGACATGCTACTCTTAATCTTAAATTTGTTCATTAGAAAAAGTTCAATTCTTCTCTTTGTCCTATTTCTTAGTTGACAAAGGATCAGAGGTTGGTGTATTCGGGCAGACTGCTTCCCGATCATCTGCAGCTGAAAGACATTCTCAGAAAAGTAAGCTTTCCTATAACTGTTTGACACCAGATACATAAATATATGAGCAGACTTAATTTTAAATACTCAAATTCAATCCTCTGGATAGCATAATAGATAGATTAGAGAGTAAAGAAAACACAGTGACAGATTTTGGTTAGTTTTGGTAATAGCTTTGTATACTTATCTGATAGCCAAATCTGAAATACAATTAGATATTAGTCATTTGTTTGTTTGTTTCATCATTTTTTGATCAGTTGTTTAAGAGTAGAATGATTAGGTAGTGGTAAAGGATTTTCACTGATACCAGTATCTCTAAATCTCTTTGCTCAAACAAGATGGCATTTAATACAGATTACGTGGGTTAGGAGTTTAATTTCAGGACATGAAATAGAATGAAGCAAAAATGGTCCAGCAGTTAGTAAACTTTGAACAGTGGTGTTCTGAGTTAAATATGCTTCAGTATAGATTTGTTGGTTTTTTCCCCCCTAACAATTAGCTTGAATGTTAGTTATTTTAATGATAGCTTTCATCCCATGTCCGTTTGTGAAACTTAGACAACTTTCTGCATTTAAAATTTTTTGTTTGTAAATATAAGTAGAATTGAATACATAAATTTGTATTTTGCCTTAAAATTTTTTTTTTTAACTTTTTGTGTTCTGAGTATTTTTGATCTGATTTAGAAGATCTGTATTGTATCTTGCATGCTTATGATTACCTGTGGGAAACTTTAAAAATATTTTGCTTGGTTGGCATTTTTTTAAATCAGTGTGATTTCTTCTATTTAATTTCATTTATGTAGTTTCAATTTGTGTAAAGAGTTTCATGAGTTCTTTTTCCTTTCTCAAAAAGATGAGTTTTAAATAGAGTTTTTCTTTGTATGCTAAAAAATCTTTAAGCATAAAAGTTAAGCTAACTGATCTTTAAAACATAGTATTTGATACAGTTATTTTTATGAAAAAAAAGTTTTTGCTGGCGTGAATCATTTCAAACTGAAATGGCTTAGAACTCTTAAAGAAAACTTTTTGAATGGATATTTGAACTGTTTCTATGAAAGTTGGTGCACTCCTTTACGTTTTTAAATTAAATGCTACCATTAGTTTTATAGAAGCATTCCCCAAAGATGAATAGAATATTATGAGTTAATTGTGATTAATATAATAAATAATCTTTAAAACTAGATTCCAAGGATAAATATCTTTTACTTGGAAGATTTTTAGTATTCAGAAACTCTAGGACCATTGTAAGCCAGGATAATCTTCAGTTGCTGTGCCAGGCCTGTCTTATGTCTTCTTGTCTTTGTCAGTCCTTTTCCCAGCATTGTGACCCCCATGAACTTCTTCCCCAAACTCCTGAAGTTAGTACTTGTCATAGTTTGTACTTGTCAGTTTTGTACATAACACACTATTATATTTTCCCCTAGTTGTCCTTCATAGTACTGGTCTGATCTCTTTAATTGCATCATGAACCTCTTTCAGGTTTTAGCACACAAAGACCTCTCTAGGTTCATGGCTCATAGGAGGTAGTTAATAATATGTTTTATTTTTCTGATGGCTTTGTTTTTCCTTCATCAGGGGATATTTTTCTTCTCCTTTGCCCCCTGCTTCCTCAATCATTCTGTTTTAGTTGCTCACTCATACTTTTTCCCCCTGTCTTCCTTTTTTCTCTTTCTTCATCTTATTTAGTTACTTGTTCTTTGTTTCTAAAAATAAATATACTCATGATATCAATGAATTAAAATGCTATCCCTAATCATTTCTTAGAATTTTCCCTTTGTCTTATGTGTGTTTTCTGTAAACATGGATTTTCTACAGTACATGTACTTCAAATATGTGCATTTTTATATATCTGTACATAAATGTTAAAGATGAACAATAATTGTCATTGACTTACCAAGAAAAAAAGCTCTTTATCACCTTGCTAAAATTAAGGCAAATGAGGTTATGGTGAAATTATTTGAGTTTCATTTTTATCTTCCTATGGAAATAGCTCCTTTTCACTATTTAAGGTTTATAGGCCAGAACTTAAAGTTAATTATTATAGTTCTTATGTTAAAGACCTAGTTGTTTTTATGTTAAAAGAATAGATTCTATTGATATAAAAAAGCAGGGTTTGCTTTAATACTACTTAGTATGCAAAAAGAGTAATTAATACAGCAGTTACTAAGTATATAAGAGATATATTTTTTAAGTACAGAGAATATGCCGAATTCAAAATAATACCTATTAAAATGGGTAATTTTTCATGTGACAGTTTATTACTAATAAAATGGTTGTGTTAGAAGGGAACTTAAGCTACAAGACTTTCCGCTTAGCTACTGACTTTTTGAACTGTATATTTTATAGTACTACCCTTTACATGTAATCTTCTTTAATTTTAGCAAGATGAGTATCATATGGTTCATCTAGTATGTACTTCTCGGACTCCTCCCAGTTCTCCAAAATCTTGCACCAGTAGAGAAAATCATGAAGCATTGGCACCCAGCAGCAATTCTGTGAGTGATTTTGGGAGGAGTAAACAAAATTTACTAATTATCCTTATTTTTGCTTCAAGAAAAAAAAAGACTCTGCACAGTTGGTGTTGTGAGTTTTGAAAAGCTAGCTTAGGATTTTAACCTTTGATTTTAGATATCTGATAGTTACTGTGAACCCTTGAAACCTGCTCATCCCGATTTAGAATTTTCTTTATGACAGGTTAGTAATAGACCTAGTTTATAAGGGTTTAATTCCTGAAGTATTTAGAAAACAAAATTATAATGTAGCTTACAGTACAGAAATATTTAAGATAGTTAATAAATGAGAATATTTTATTTGAAAGACCCTTCTGGCACAGTCATTAAGTGCTTGACCACTGACTAAAAGGTTCACACCTTCCAGCTGCTCCCAGGGAGACAGATATGCTAGTCTGCTTCCATTGAGGTTTATAGCTTTGGGAACCCTCTGGAGCAGTTCTACTCTGTCTGAGAGGATCACCGTGAATCAGAATGGACTCGAGGACAACAGATAAGTTTTATTCAAATGGGTTAAATTGCTAAATCTTGAAGAACATTTCTTGATCAAGAATTTTTTTCTTTTAAAAATGACTTGGGTTTTCATTTCAGATGGATAACTTAATGTACTCTGCTCTTTCAGACATGAGTATTCATATCTCCTTTCCTTTGTGGATCTGAGGACCTACTCTGTAGCATGTTGTGCAGCTGACCAAAAGACTGGAAGTTTCCAGCAGTTTGACTCCATCACTAGCACAGAGGGGATGATGGGCAGTCATCTGAAAACTTGAGGGCCAGTCTGCGAGTCAGAATCAGCTCAGTGACAGTGAATTTTAAACTTGTTTTAGAATAATAGTTTAATGTTTCAATATTAACATTATCTCAAGTTTTAAAGACATTGTCTCATTCTCATGTGAAATTATTTTTTATCTCTTCTCAAAATAGTACTTTTAGGATGAAGGGAAAGGGCAGGTATGAGTGGAAGCTTGTTATAAACTTATTGGGTAGAGTGCTTTCTTACTGCAAGTATACTCCCCTTCCTTAAGGAAGGGAGGAGTAGATTTAGTTGAAAGATTTCCTAGTAGGTTCTAGTTAACTGTTTCTTTTTTAAAAACTGGGCCTATTACCTGCTATACTTAATTAGCGTGACTTCACTGGAGATACTTTCTAAAGCCATGGGAATGTAACTTACATAAAATGAAAATATACTTTGTCATAAAATTCAAGGATCTTTATGTGTTTCATGCTTTGCCACGTGAAGGGATAAAACTTTGTTATTTGCCTAGAGTTCTGTGTGTAGTCTTTGAGAACAAGTGTGTTGCTGTGGTTTCTGTTGAGAAAGAATCATCTCACTGACTGGTGTTTTTAGTGATTCCTCAGCCTTATGTTTATGTGTATATCATTAATAGTATGTACCAGTAGTACCTGGATATAAGTCTGTTTTTAAATAGAATTTGACTGTTAAGTCAGAACAGTTAGGTATGGTTTATACCTAACTTGAAGTAGTCAAATGTTTGGCTTAGTATTCAGAGTACCCTGTTGTTGTTGTCGTTAAGTGCCATCGAGTCGCAGGCGACTCATAGTGACCCTATGAAAGGAGAGTCCTTGACACTTGGGTGCCTTTCATCCTCTCTCCAGGTTCATAGGGTTTCCGGAGGCAACCCTATGAACTCCTCCTTCCACTCAGAGTAACCTACTATGCATAAAAAATGTTTATGAAACATTTCAAGATACACTAAAATATCTTTACCATAATAATCACTTATTCAGTTTCTTTAGCATAATCACTTATTCAATTACTCTTCTCTAGTTGGAACCGACTCATAGCTCACCCATCAGAGGGTTTTCAGAAACTAAGAAGATTGCCTAATTTTTAGTAATAAAATATTTGATGTACATTATTCTCTGTTCCTATGAACCATTGTATATACCTTGAATTTTTAACATGACAGGTTTGATGGAGGTTGGTTCCAACTACGTGTTGTAACTAAGTTGGGACATTCATAATCCAGGAATTGCCTGTACTTAGTTTTTTTTCCTCGTAACATTAACGTTAGAAATAACGAATCTTAATTTATCGTGACTTAGAACTTTCAGAGATTTGAAAATGCCTTAAAAAATCTAATTATGAAAGAATTACTCAATGAAGTTAGAAATTTGTTCTAGAGAAATTACGCTCTGCTGACATAACTAGGTCTGTCTGTCTTTGAATGTGTTAACTAGCATTATATTATGATAGTCTATAATGTAAAATATTTTCCAAAAAAAGAAGCTTTCCCAGGTTATGTTCATAAGAATCAGACTTAAGAGTAAGATATTTTAATATTTATTTTTTATAGAATAGCATATTAGAGAACAAATAAATATAAATCAAAACTGTTGGAGATATCTATAAGCAAATAGAATTTTAGAATTGAAAGGAACTTTGGAAATCTAGTTAAGCTTCAGTTAATACAAGAAAAAAGATTTGGAGAGAAGTGAACCTTTAATGTTAGAAGCAACACCAGATTGTAGATATTTTGATCCCTGTTGTACTCCTTGTTACTTTAAACAAGTGTGCCCCAAAGCATATTCTATTGTAGTCACATAGTAGCTATTTCTGTTAGACATCCTCAAGGACCCTTCCATACGTCATTAAATCCTCACAATTTGATATATTATTTAAAAATATGATTGCTATCCAATATTTTCTAGTTGAGAAATAAAATTTTATATAATTAAGCGGTTTTGACTGTTGAACCCTTTAATCTTTAATCTCATAAGAATTTGATACTTATTATACAGGCTTTAAAGGTCAAATCAGTAAATTTGTAAAATTCAGTTATCTTTTTTAGAAATGTATTTTTAAGCAATATGTGATCTCCTGATTGTAATATATTAAATCTCCTTGAAAAATAATTACATTTTTGTTTGTAGAATTCTGATCATTCAGGATCAACAACTCCATCTTCCAGTCAAGAAACCTTGTCTATAGGTGCCAGTTCTTCCTCTGAAGGATTAAGGCAGCGCACTATTCCACCAGCACAAACTGACCCTGCACAAAGTCATCAGTTCCCATATGTCATGCAAGGGTGAGTGGCCTTGTAGTAGCATCATAGCTGGACTTCTTAAAAGTCAGTTTCTTTTGATATTCTTTGTAGCCCCTATTAAGTAATCAGAATACATTTGGAATGTATCCATATACTTTGTTATAATGTTTTGGGAACTAGAAATTAAGTGGAGCATTGCTTTTGAAAGTTGAGCATATATCAGAACCATAATGTTTTAAATCTTTGATATTTATACTAGTTGCCCAGGGATCTCATTAAGATGTAGTTTCTGATTCCTTAGGCCTGAGAATCTGTATTTACAGCACGTTCCCAGATGCTACTTTTCTTGGACCATACTTTGAGTAGCAAGGAACTGGGTTAGTAGGTTTATTTATTTTTTTAAAAATTCAGCCTCATGTAGATCTGTTTAGTTAGTCTCCTGGGGAGTGTTAAGAGCAGATAACTGAGAGTATTCTTAGAAGAGTTTGAAAGAAAAAATTCAAAAATGACTACTGTTGAGTTAGTTCTGACTCATAATGACCCTCTGTTGCGTTTCCAAGACTATAAACCTTTGTGGGAGGAGACCACCGCCTTTCCCTGTAGTTCACATGCTGGATTCAAACTGCCATCCATTCGATTGGCAGACCAGTATATAATAATGCCTTATGCCCCAGAGCTCCTTTAGAAGAACATGTATCTAAAAACCAAATCCACTATTGTCAAGTAATTTCTGACTCATAGTGATCCTCCGTTGGTTTTCCAATGGAAGACTTCCCATTTTTCTCCCTTGGAGAGGCTAGTGGATTTGAACAGCTGACCTTTTAGTTAGCAGTCCTGTATGATAGGTACTATGCCACCAGAGCTCCTTAGACTTGTTAGATGATCTAATGACTATACGCCTAAGTTTATATTCCAAAGACATGAAAGCAACTCTATATAGCAAGTAACCCTGGTGACATAGTGTATATCATGTTAGGCTGCAACTGTAAGTTGAGCAGATTGAACCTACTAGCTTCTCCATGGGAGAAAAATTAACAGTCTCCTCCATAAAAGTGTACAGCCTCAGAAACCCAGTGGAGGATCACTGTAAGTCAGCTCCATTCAGTGTCAGGGGGTTGGTATCTATAGTCAGTTCATTTGCTTAAGCAGTTTTGGGGGTGTTGTAAACAACAGCCATGGTAAAGCATGCTTTTCAGATAGTTCACAGAGTATATCATTTGGTCTTGGGTTATGTCTGAAACTATAGTATTTCACTGAGGAATTCCTGTTTTGTTACTCTTGAAGTAAAAAGCAAGATGCAGTGGGTAACAATGGTAACACTGTGTTACCAATTGGCTAGGGCATACTACTATAGTGTGTGACAGTGTACAGGTCCATGATGGTGAGGCTGGATTTGAGCAGCAATAGAACTTCAGAATGATAATGGGAGGTAGGTAGCTAAGGTGTTACCATTGGGTGCTATCCTCAGTGGGATAGCACAAACACTCAGGTACTTAGAATGTTTTACTTAAATAAATTACTTTGGAAAAACAAAGCTGACTGTATAGCAAAATTGAAGAAAACTCATATATCTTCTTCTTGGATATCAGTTGCACTTCCAACCACAGGGTGGTACTTCACTAATGACTGGAATCCACCAGTGGCTCTGCAGGAGAAAGATGGGTGATCACCAGTGCAGTTTACAGACACTGAAAACCCTCTAGAGCGTTAGGCTATGAATTGGTTACAACTTTAGGGTAGTGAGTTTGGTCTTCCTGGGTATGAAAACTTTCCTCTTACTGTGTTTAGATGGGATTGGTTGTAGGCTTTTTATAAAGAACTTGTAAAAGTATTTCTGTTTTTAGAAAATTATTACTACAGACCAAAACTATTTGGTTATTTGTTAAAAAAAAAGCAATGTTCTCATTATGGCATCAAAATGCAAACTCATTGCCATTGATTCAGGAGCAACTCATAGCTGACCTTCCAGTGGATTTTCAGAGGTTCTAAGTCACTTGAGAGGAGATTGTATCTTTGTCTTGAGCACCTGGTAGATTTGAACCACTCACCTTTGGTTTGGCAGCACAACTCCCTAACAACTGGGACACCAGCATTTCCCCACATTATGGCATAGTAGCTTAACACCTTGACAGTGATTCTCATTGTACTTTGCCACAGATACCTCAGTTCTTCTCAATGTAAACAGTGACTTTTATGCATTTGGGTTTTTTTTTTTAGGTATGATATGCAGAAACCCTCTCTCTGTATATATGAGAATATAATGGTACATAATATATATATATTTGTGTGTGTGTGTGTGTATACATACATAAAATTATATAACTTCTTGTTGTAATGAATATCTTTGTCAGTAAACAAAACAGTGGCTTCTTGTTTTTGATTGCCATCAAGTCGAGCATGACTTATAGTGACCCTATGAACAAAAGACCTGAAGCCTTTCTGTTTAACTATTGTCATTTCTCAAAGTTCATAGACTTTCCAGAGGCATGTTGTTTAGGAAGTGGATGCCACTCCTGCTTCCAAAATTGTCTTAAACTGGGAGCTCCACCAAACACTGTCCACCATGGGTAACCATTATGGCGTTTGACACCCCTATGGCACAAGGTTCAGCATCACATTGACAGAGAGTGACCAGAGCACTTTATGATTTTTAAAGCAATTTACACAAAAGTCCAGTTAGTAGGTTGTTCAGTTCCATGATGGATTTGATTTTCCTTAATATCATTGTTGACATAATTTTTATTAAAGACTTTTTGTCTTTAATATGCTACTGAACAGATTCTTAAGAGTGCAAGAGGAGTGAGGTTGTAACCTTCAAGAATTCACCATCCAAGCACACTCTGATGTTCTTTGTGAATCTTCAGTATTGCTTGTGTTTAGTTACATGTATGTGGTTTATACCATGTAGATAGTATTCTTGGCCTTAAAACCTTAATAAATCCTGATCCCTCATCCTTGAGATTTTCAATTTCTGGATTTGGGATGAGGCTTAGAAATCTGCAACTTTAGTAATACCCTTGGAGCTTCACTTTATAGGTAATAATTTGCTCATTCCATTTAGTGAAATATGAGCAAACTAAAGCAATACATTTAGAACAATATATACAACATTGTCACATTTTCCATTTGCAACATGACATAAATCCTGACTGCCTGTTTTGAATTCAGTCTGCTGTACTGGTACATTTCTTTAGCTGTAAAAGTTGATGGATAGTTTACATTCAGTCTGCTGTAGCCCCTTAAAAGTGTCTTAGAAGTTCTGCTGTATCCCAAAGACGCATGGTTCAAATCCACCAGATGCTCCACTGGAGGAGGGGCAATCTCCTCCTGTACCAGTCGGATCTGGTTTGATCACACAAAATAATTAAAAGAAAAAGAAGAAGAGCTGCTGTAACAGCAGTGCCACAAGGGAATTACTTTAAAAAGCAAATAATTTTCGGAGCCTGGAATTAGGCTGCTGACTCTTGGCTTCTCCCTCTCCCTTTAGGAACAGACTCTTCTCTCCTTTGAATATCTGTGGGCCAAGCATCTCTCCTAGATCTCCATGTGTTTCTGTCAGTCTTCCCCAGGGTCTAGGAGGTTCTCAGTACAGGGACTGTGGGCTCCTGTTCCCTTCGCTGCTTTTCTTTTTTGGTGGTAGTCAAGTTTCTCCTCTGCTCGCTTTTTTATTTTTTATGTCTTGTAAGATAAAAGTTGATGCAGACCATGCTTAAGGGAAATTTCTCTACACTGGATCAGGAATATGATCTGAATAAGTGTGTCTTATCCTCTCTCATCCCTTGTAACCAATTGATCATATCAGTTCACATACTGATGTGATTACATCATTACTCACCCAGATAGAATCTGCTGTTAAGCAGATTCTGACTCTTCATGGCCTTTTAGACAGAATTAAACTGCCTTGTAGTGTTTCCAAGGCTGTAGAGCTTTATGGAAATGGAATACGTCACTTTTTATCCCATAGATTAATTAACGCTAAATGCATTAACCATGATGCCACTGGGGCATCTTTACATCATTATATAACTACCAAACTGACATGTTTCTGGGTCACATACTTCAACTCATTACAAATAGTGAGGCTGTTAGATGCTATCAAGTCAGCAATGACTCGTAGCTATCCCATCCATGTACAGTAGATCTGAACTGTGTTCTGTCTTTTGCCATCTTCACATGTGCACATCTCAGATATTCACTAGCCCATTGTTACTGTGTCAATCCATCTTATTGAGGCTCCTTTTTTTTCCCCTTTGACCCTGCACCATTCTTAGAAGGATGTCTTTTTCCAAGGGCTGGTCCCTTCTGATAACATAATATGTGAGACCAAGTTTCACCATCTTTGCTTCTATGTTGAACTTCCAGGAAAGACTTGTTTATTCTTTTGATAGTCCATGGGGTAGTCAGCACCCCAACACCACAATTAAAAGGCATCAGCTGTTCTTTGTCATCCTTTATTCATTGATCACTTTTCATATGCATAGAAATAACTTGAAAATACCATGGCTTGAATCAGGCACAACTTAAGTCTTTAAACCGACATTATCACTTTTTAGCACACCTTAGTCTTTAAACCAACATCATCACTCTTTAGTGCTTTGGAGAAGCCCTTGACATATTATTCCAAAACAACACCTCTTTTTGATTTCTTAATTGCTGTTACCGTCAGTGTTGATTGTAGATTCAAGGAGGATGAAATCATTGACAACTTCAGTCTTTTCTCCATCTTTCATGATTTTGCCTGTTGGCCCAGTGTTAAGGATTTTTGTCTTCTTGGTGGTGATATGTAATCCATATTGAAGGCTGTAGCCTTGATTTTCTGCAGGCAAAGATGTCCTGTCTGCACATAGCAAGATATTGATGCTGACTTACAGTCTTGTTTTATAATTAATAAAAATGAAATTATCATATTTTTCTGTGCTGATTCTTTAAAATAAAAATTGCTCAACAACCAAAAATTGCTCTTAAAAAATGTAACTCTACCATCCAGGAAGAATTATTATGTTGGTTTCTTTTTTAAACTGGAATATTATTTATTTTGTTTC